TAATAGTTATATGGCAATAATGATTTAATTTTACATCCTAACGCAAGTGTTGATATTAAGAGTCTAAACTATTAATTGAAATATGAGCAAGTAACTTTATAAAAAAAAGGAATATGAGAAGATAGCGAAAACAATTAGAAAATTAGCTACTTAAAACCATCGGCATTAGGTATCTCTATCTAGCTGTGCCAGTGACGTCGTCCGCATCCCGTTTCTCTTGCAAGTTAATCTTAAAGTGTTCACAGCGCTCGCAACGAAACCCTGAAAGATGAAGAAATTTCTTCTTCTTTCTTTCATTTTTAATATTATTTTTTTGGTTTCTTCGCCCCTATTAGTTGTGGCGTGATAACCTTAAGCCTTCGTCGATAATTGATCTAACAAACACGAAAATTTTCAATTTAAACCAGAACTTCCTAAGAATAGAACGTTCAAACAAACAAACACTTCAGCTTTATATTATTATGGATTATGCTAAGGCCTAAAAATTGTGATAAGCTCGAAGAGCAACTCATCTGCGTAAGCTCAGGCGAGATTTAATATACAAAATGTCATTAGATGGGGAGCAAGTTATCTGTAAGGGCAACCTGTACATCGGTATCGCTGAGATCGCGGCGACACCTGCTCCCGCGCACCTGCTGTTTCTGATTCGCCAAAACGACCAGTCGGACGCGTCACCTGCCGGCCGAAGATACTCTCCGTAGAATATTGACTATCGATTTACATATAAATCTTAATAATAATGCAGGCAAGTGTGTAGAAATTCCTATATTATATAGGTGATACTTGCATTTCACACATACTAAATATAAGACTAGTTTTAATGGATAGTAACGAATTTTGTTCATATAACCTGATTTTGACTTCGCAAACGTTCTTTTCCATGTAATGTATTTCAGTGAGGTTTTATTGCAATGAAAAACGATTCTTTTAAGTTTATCTGTATCTATACTTCTATACTAATATATAAAGCTGAAGAGTTTGTTTGTTTAAATGCGCTTATCTCATTAACTACTGGTTCGATTTGAAAATTAATTTTGTGTTGATTAAAACATTTATTGGAACGGGCTATAGGCTATAAAACAATTAACTGTGTCTAATAGAAGCGAAGATAGAGCTGATGCGTACGCTGCGACAACGGTTCAAGACGCCCGAGAAATATATATTTCATATGAGAATGATTCCTTTTTAAATGATCTAGAAAAAGTCCATGACGTTATATGTCTATATTTTAAGATTAACTTGCAAGAACGACGGGAAGGGACGCGGTCGACGTCGTGAGTAACAGCTTAAGTTTATAAAGATGAAGAGGTTCGTAAAAACGAAATTGGATGCTCAATGTAACGATTCTCCCGGACGAAGTCGCTGACACAGCTAGTCAACTTGTTTTTAGATTATTTAAAGAAGAATGCATTTTTGATTCCTATTGGTATCCGAGATATTATATAGCCCAAAGCCTTCGTCGATAAACGGTTTAACCAACATAAAAGTAATTTTTCACTTCGAACCAGTAGTATTTTAAATTATAACATTTACACAAGATGCACCGTCATGTTTTTTGGCTTTGGAGACTCGGAATTCCTGAGATTAGCATGTTTAAACAAACAAACTCTACATCTTTATAATATTAGCATAGATTATTTAAATAAAACACTTTAACGGTTCAAAACGCGATATATTAGTTAAACTTATTTGAAAATGATCTTTAACTTCGGCGCGACGTTTCGGATGCGGATCACGGGGAGACAAAAACTCAAACACAAATAAGTTTAACTAATATATCGCGTTTTAAACCGTTAAAGTGTTTTATTTAAATGTGTACTACTCGCGTTAACTATAGACAGTAATTAGTATAGATTAATTTATTTCACTGTGCTTAGAATAAATCCTGTTTTAACAGTGTCTATTTCACGTGGTACTTACTACTCGTTTAGCCTACGTACACAAGTTACTGTACTAATGTGCGCTCGTTATATTCAAATAAGATTGTCTCTCGCCTTTGTACTTATTAAGCGCTGGTGCGGTTCAGTTGTTCAATCTATTGCCTAGCATTAGGTTAAAAAAAGAGCCCAACGGCTCTACATTTATTGTTCTTATTTATTAAATACAATGCATTATATAAATAAACGTCTGTGTAGGTAAAAATGGTTAGAACCACAGCACGGAGTCCTGTGACAGCGGGAAGTACAAACTGTTCGAGAAAAATTAGAAATTAATTGGAATCTTGAATACGGTTACGAACTCACGACCCGTGATTACGTGGAATATACAGAATATTAATAAAAATACTTTTGTACTTACATCTGTACGACTTATATTTATTTATACATGTTTCCTACCACAAAGGAACACAAAACCAGAGACTATACTATGGTTATAGAGGAATTATAGCAATATAAAATATCACTTCATATTTCGGTAATGCTGTAATTTTTCTAACACGTCTTCAATGCATATATAATACAATATTTGAATAATATATAAATCGATAGAACAACACGGTGTAGGGTTCGAGTGTGGAACTATTTCAAATCATAATGTTACTTCCTCATATCATATAATAATTTTCTTCCCGTCTTTCCTTTTCATAGATAAATTTAAAAAGCTTCAGGTCTTATTTTTTTATCACCCTCGTAATTATCGGGAGGAGATATAAAAACGATATTCACAGGTGAAGCCAACAAAAGCTATAACACCAGGGAGTAATTAACACCAATTTGTCACATGGCACGGCGAGCCAAGAAATATAGGGCTGCCCCGCATCTACGATTTAGTTTTGTTTTCACGTCCTTAATTTTCTCAAATAAGTAAGAGATTGAGAAGAGAAATAGAAAATCATTAAGGCATACATAGTATGAGAACAAGGATATTTACATCATTAATAAGTTTTTTGTGTTGCATACAATATTGGGGGGGGGGCTGAATTACGTAGACATAAGTCATATATCGTAAATATAACAAATAGTGTCGAAATAGTAATTAAATACAATTAATAACCATTGCCGTCGAAATAATAGACACTAAAGAATTTCAAAAATGTGTACATAGACTATATTCTCGTTTGATAGTCACAGTAAGTGTCTTCTATTGGGCAGCACTGAAGAAGGCAGCAATACAATTTTACTTCGTTTTCTTCTTCTTGTTTAATGACAGAATTATGTGTTTTTATTATTTAATTTTATTGTGTATCGTGTCCTCGTTAAAAACCGTTCAGTGTTTTATTTATGACTCATTTATATTTTTGTAGTCTAAGAATATTTACATTCAAACACAGTGACTTACACAAATAATAGTACATAGTTCGTCTGAGTTAATTGCACATTTCATTTTTCACCTTACTGAAAAACATGTTTTATATTATTAGCCTCTCTGGCTCTAGGAGCCTCATATACTCTCGTTTTTTAGTCACTCTAAGTATCATCTACGGGGCATCACTGAAAAATGGGATATTTACATCTACTAATACTTTGGTTCGTTTCCTTCTTCCTATAAAGCTTTATCTTCTTGTTAAATCATAGAATGATGTATACAAAAACACATACAGATGTGTTTTTAATATTTATTTTTATTATAATATAAAATATAAAACACAACCCTAACAAGAATTCGTAGCTCATACTGCACGCTCATTATTGTAGCATCAGATTAAACATATCAAAGTCTGTCCAATTCAACGTTCATATTTTGATAAATACTTGAATAAAAAGAGAATATGTTTTAAAAGAGGCAGACATATTTTAGTGTCTGTGTCTGTGCGTGTTATACGTGTATAGTTTTTTTTGTTCAAACGCTTTCAGGGGATAATAAAAAAGGGCGTTTATTTTGTAACTTGTATTTCATTCGATGGGACGGAGATATTTATCACACATATAAAAAATAGAGATCACATTATACCTTAGTGCCTACACTCTACAGTAAAGTACATAAAAATCATATTGGGATACGGTCATGTATTTTATAAATTTCAGTATCAGAAAAACATTCTTTAAAATACTATTTTGTATTTTCACACATCTATAAAAATTGTATGGCTTCGATATATATTTAACTATTTAATAATAACATTTAACTATAATTAATATATATATATAGTGCTTACATATAATAGATATTAGAGGAATCTGAATAGAGCACTTTTGACGGCATAAAACGCGAAATATATATATTTTATTTTCACTGTAAAGAACTAGTTCCAAATATCAATTACGACGAAACAGATGGCGCTAGCTTAGCGGATTTGACTTTGACATTAGAGACACCCTTTCTCTTCAGACCCCCCCCCCCCATCCCGTGACCACGACTGCTAACTAATCAATGTTTCGCGTTTTGAACGAATTAAGAAATAATACATAATAAAGTGACACTAATGAATGAATTGCGATATTTGAGCGTAAAATAAATTACTTTTAAAGGTGTCAACCTAAATTAATCTAATTGTATCCGCCGCTTGACGAATTAAACTGTGTTTCACTAATCGACTTCATTTTCAGGCAAGCACTTTAAGGGACTCTCTGCCCTGCCCGACAGAAACTATTCCTATCTTCTCCGAGATTCAAACCCGGAAGCACACTTTATGTTTAAAATTAGAATTTTAGAATGCGTTAAATGTGCCACAGTAGTCAAATCAACGCTTACCTTTTTAACATAATTTCTACAAAATTATATTTGGAAAAAATCGCGACGACATTTATTTAATTTATCTTAGGTTTAAAGAATTGATTTTCTCCAAGAATATACATATTTCTCTTTTCATTAAAATAATAAAAACAGTTGTCGAATTTGTTTAATTTAAAACACTGTTATATACTTTACTTACACTTGTTTGTCTGTTCGCAATATATTGTTAATTAGAACTGATTCATGTACATTTGAAAACTTTAATATTTTTCACATGGCACTATATAAATTAAAAACAAGACTCGGGCAGGACTTAAGTACAGTTAAAAAGCGGATAACACGTTAACTTAATATGTACAATACATTATAAACAATTTACAATCACTCTACGTCCACGATCCCGGTTCGTTTGGGCTTGTGGGCGTGGAGGTGTTAGAATCGTTTTCGTGTAGACCGTTCTCGCTAGACTTGTCTTCGTTGGGGCTTCTACAAAAACCGCAATGTCCTTTCGTCACGAGCTGGACCTCGAAATCCTCCATGTAGAACAGCTGTGAACAATCATTAGAAAAGTTAACGTAGACACGCGGACCGCATGTGACTAATGAACACATTAAAAGGCCCTTTGTTGTCCACTCGTTCCGATTCGCTACGATTTTACAATTACTAGAAAATAAGGAACGTGTAGAATATTCGGTAACCGAAGCTATACTAATAAAGCTGAAGCGTTTGTTTGTTTGAACGCGCTAATCTCAGGAACTACTGGTTCAAATTGAAATTTTGTTATGTGTTGATTAGAGCATTTATCGAGAAAGGCTGTAGTATATTACGATGCGACTAATAGGACCGAAAAAACGGTGGAAAATGTGGAAAAAACGGGAAAATATATTCATGTTTTAAAGTTTAAGATACCCAAAAAATATGTATCCAAGAATGATTCCTAAAAAAAATGTCCGCGACATTATATGTCTATCTCATAAGATTAACATGGAAGAAGGTACGGGGACTAGGTCGTAGGTAACAGTTTAAATTTATAGAGTTGAACGGAGATTGGAGAAAACAAATTTTGATGGGCAAAATAACTATTCCACGCGCACGAATTCGCTGACACATCTAGTTAATCAATACATGTAAATAAAATAAACTATATAAGGCAAAGGACCGAAGAAGGTAGACTAAATAAGGAACAGGAAGAGAAAGGATGCGTAATGCGGAAGGGTTCCTTACATTGACGAACCCCGTGACGGCTGCTGCAATGCAGCTAATATGTTTTCGGAATTCGGGGTGAGCCGTTAAAATTGTTTAATTTAAACATTTAAGAACACTTATTCGATAAAAAATTTAATTATCATCATCTTATTCTTAATTTCATTTAGAAATGGAACAAGTTGATAATTATTGCCTTTTCTATTGCTTTTAATATACTTACATTCTGACAATAATCGCAGGTAGTCACTGGTAGCTCTGGTAGCATATTTCTGTAGAAAACCGGGGGAATCCCCTTCTTTCGCACGACAACTATGCTGACTGGACTGAGTTGAAGTAATGCTTTTCTACTGCACTGCACCACGCCACTTTCGTCATCCTGTATAAAAAAAATAACTTGTGTAATACGCAAATTAACATTTTGTTGACTTTTATTATAAAGGCAGGTAGACAAGTCTGCGGGTTGGAAGGTAAGGTTGGTACTCGTTGGAAGGTGAGCGATAGCCATATAACATGAACTAAACTAAACAAGATGTGCTATCGACCTATTATTGGTTCCAGACATTCAGGAATCCACTAAATCTAAATCTGAAACTTCGCGACTTTTTCATTAGTAGACTTGTGATGTAAATGAAATTTCGATGTTTCAAATATCCAGTCTCTATGACCAAAAACAACGTGTATTATAAAGAAATATACATGACCACGACTGATAAAAAACACCCAAAACGTCGGGCCGTTAAATAATTTCCAAATAGGTTTAAATAAATATATGTTGCATTTCAAACCGTTATAGTGGTTCATTTAAATGTGTAAACTACAGACAGTAATTAAAATATACATAGATCAGTACAATACATTGCTTCCCTTAAACCAGCGAGCTCGTCAAATTATATCAAGCTAAAAATTAACGAACAAAAGCTACCTCATCAACTTTGTCGAGAAAAGGATCACTCGAATCGATGTCGTGATTTATTTTTAGTATTTCCGAGTCGCCTGAGTCGCCTGATTTCTCTTCTGGTATTGGCATCCTCTCAATTAGATCTAGTGCTTCTTCATAAGACACGCCCTCCGCCGGCACGAATCGTACTAGAGGCAGGACTTCTGTGCGATGGAATAAATTGTATTTATTAAACTTTATTAATAACATACACCACAGGAATAAAAACTCATATTACTATCAGCTTAATTAAAAGGCGCCTTATTGCTAAACAGCGATCTCTTACAGGCAACCAGATGGAACCATATTATTAGTACTTTTGCCATATAAAGTACTAGCAGTGTCCAGGACTTGGTCCGCTTAGAAATATTTGGGTATTTAAATTTGGTTTTGCCAACCTCCTGGTGTTTATCAATAATAGCTGTTACCCACGACGTCGTCTGCGTCTTGTCGTTATGAGTTATAAAAGATATACATATTACGGAGAATGTTTTACGTCATTTACAGAAAAAACGTTTTCGTACATATTTTTGGGTTATCTTGAAAATTTAAATAAAACACTTTAACGGTTTAAAACACGATATATTAGTTAAACTTATTTGAAAAATGATTTTTAACTTCAGCCCGTTTAACACATTTAACTAATATATCGCGTTTTAAACCGTTAAAGTGTTTTTTTTAATGTGTACAACTCGCGTACACTATAGACAGTATTTTATCTTGAAAAGTTTTCGAACCAATATCTGAGATTAGCCGGTTCAAACATACAAACAAACTCCCCGATCTCGCAACGCACGCACACTTAGATAAATATTTTCCCCGTTTTTTCCAGTCTCATATCAGCCTTCGTAGCTCCATGGTCCAACCGACGTCAATATATTTTTTCAATTCGAACCAGTAGTTTCCGAAATTAGCGCGTTCAAGCAAACAAAGAAACTCTTTAACTTTATAATATTAATGAATATTTATTGCAGGCTGCCGTAAAAAAGACCGCCACGAAATGCCAACGTAGTTATAACAAACCATAGCGCATAGTAATCACATATAACTGCGACTTAACTTCTTTGTCAAGTACAAGTAATATAATACATACATATGCGCTTTTGGTCGTATTACATTTTGCATAAGTTTTCATTATGGAACATATCTTTTATAACGCATTGTTTTTATTAAGTGAGTAGGGATAATAAATGAATAAGTTTTACAAATTGAAAACCGATTTTCAATTGAAAAAAAAATGCGGCACTTGCCGTACTTGAAGCGTTCCGAACTTCGATTCACGTTCCGTCCGTGTCAAAAAAAAATCAAATCGATTTAAATAAAACACTTTAACGGTTTAAAACGCGGTATATTTTAGTTAAACTTGTTTGAGAATTATTTTTAACTCAAACAAGTTTAACTAAAATATATCGCGTTTTAAACCGTTACAGTGTTTTAATTAAAAATGTACTACTCATGTAAACTACAGACAGTATATAAAATCGATTTTCAATTAATATAACGACATCATAAGCCACATGTGAAAAATGTTAGTTTAAAGATGATAATATGGGGAGGGGGGTAAACAAGCAGGGTAGGGCCACCTATATCTTACCATGAGTAGCCAAGGAATGTGCGAGTAGGTGCTTACACCGTGGACACTGGGTCGCGAACATTGGGGTGTGACGTCGGCAACGCCAGCATAGTGGTGCTACTTCTTCTTCATTCCCATCACCAGAACTAGCTGTTCCACCACTCTTCAGCATTAGGAGCTCTACACTTTCCTACATCAGACAATTATCCTTATCATTAAAAAATAATTATAAAACACTTTATTTTACACATAAAAAAGAAATAACTAATTCACATAAGAAGTTAGTGCAAAGGCAGCCTTATAGCCTATAGTGATTTCTTCCAGGCAACCTCTGTTTACAGGAGATAGAAACAAAGGAACAAATAAAGAATAAAAAAAACAAAAGAGCTCTTATAATCTGTATATTCTCTATGTCGTTATATTATCTGTGGACTATGTATCGAGCTTTATCTGTTGCGCTTAGCATAATCGTAATTTCCCGCTCTCGAACTAGCTCAATAAGCTGGAAGGGCCAGATGAATGAATAAAAGTGGTTTTATCAAATCATTATGGAATTTGTAATTAAGACAACGATTTTAATGTTTAGTTTTAACTAGTATTCAAATACAAATACAAATATTCTTTACTAGCTGTCTGTCTGTCAGCGACTTCGTACAACTTCAACTCTGTAAATTTAAACTGTTACCCACGTCGTCATCTATATAACGTCGAGTCATCGTATTATAGCGAGTAAATCGTAAAATATAGATATATACCGTCGCGGACATTTTTTTAGATCATTTGAACAGGCTGATTATCCTTTAATATATAACCAAACACGGATGAGTAATTTCCCCCTTTTTCCACATTTCCCACTGTTTCTTCGCGCCTATTAGTCGCAGCGCTGTTTTATAGCCTGCCTCGTGAAAGTCACTAACAAACACAAAAATAATTTTTCAATTCGAACCAGTAGTTCCTGTGATTGGCGCGTTCAAACAAACAAACAAACAATTCACATTTATGTTATTACTAGCTGTACCAGCGACTTCGTCCGCGAGGCTCATTATTTTGGACATCCAAATAAGTTTTTGCAAACCCCGTCATGTTTATAAACCTAAGCTGTTAGTCACAACAACGATCGCGTCACCTCCCGTCGTTCCTGCAAGGTAATCTTAAAAAATAGATAATTATAGCGTCGCGGACATTTTCTACGACATTTATAGGGGAATCATTCTTTCATACACAATTTTTAGTTCCTGATATTAACGCGATTAAACAAACTCTTCAGCTCAAATTAATATAGATTCAATACGACTCAATACGGACTCAATCATAAATGTTCGATTCGTATATATATAGATAAAATATATTAGTAAGACAATCCGAACTCTATAGGAAAGCAATTCAACTATGCCACCGCACTTGGGAATTCGCGTTTTGTATGATAAATCAGGACGATCAAAATCATATGAACAAATAGAGAAATCCAATAGGTTTTCGTTAATAGACAATTCCGTTTGCTTTCAAGAACGAAATAAAGTACTTTGTTCTGAATTTAAATTCTGATAACAAATTTGGCGGGCTCGGTGGTCTAATGGTAGCGGTCTATGGCTAATGATCATAATAAAGGTCGTGGGTTCAGTCCCCACCAGCTCCAACCAGTCCTCGTCTATATTAAAAAAAATGCAATAAAAACAACGTTTAAAAAAGCGGGCTTAAATGGTGAGGGTCTTAGTCAAATAACTTTACTAATACATTTCACATTTTGACCCGTTAAAAGGCATTGATAATATGTATAAATAGATAGGTCATGTTACTTCTTATATACATGATCAAGGAATAAATATATTTAAAGATATAGTAATAAAAAGTACTTACCTGAAATTTCTGTGGGATTTGAAGGCCTAAAATTTTGTCGAGCATCTTACGTGCTAATATGTTAGCGTTCAACACCTTTGCTTGTTTCGCCATACAGAGATACAGGCAGCTGAGGCCAATTAAGGTCAAAATATTTTTGTATACCAAATTATTCAAAAGTCCAACATTGAGCAATAAAGGCATATCCTCCATACTATGCTCGAATACATAACATTTTCATATTAAAAAAGGAGCGCGAAACGCCAACAAACACATCATATGTTACGTGTTTATAATATTAGTATGGATCATCAAGATTATTATAGCATTTTTAAACATCGCTCTTAATCAAAAGGATACAACATAGAAATTCCAGGTGGTGGCTCCCCGTTCAACAGCGCCAGAACATACCGTGCTGCGTTTAATAGAGCATCAGGTTGGCTCAAAGAGAACGGCTCGTGGACACAGCGATGCACCGTATCGTATGCGTGGTACATACGCGCGAGGCGGTCGTTGTGTGCGTACTGTTGTAGACATGTATCGCGATCACTGCGATAATCAAATCAAATCAAAGGTAAAATATCTACTTTAGATTGAAAAATTATTTACGCCTCGGGCAGCTACCGTGTGGTTAGAGTAACAGCACGGATGGTGGATGCGGTTCAAGTCCTGCCTATGTCGTATTTTTTTTCAAATCTAAAATCGCTGTGATCAATTGTCATGTTGACAATTGACAGGGCTAAGCATGATCTAAGCGCGCAATGGATAAAGGATAATAATGAATAACAATAAGTAATCTAATAGAATATAACAAAATATTTTATCTACCTAAAAATTATTGTGTGATGTGAGTGTAATTTTTTTATATATTTCTGATAACACTAATCCGGAACTGTTAACAAAGTGGCGAATTAAAAATTAAAAAATCAACGCATTTCACATTTCTTAACGTACTTTTTTAAATATCTACTACAATCTTATTTCTTCTTGTTGTCAGTGATGTAAATTATATAACAAATATTTACATTTTGCGAGTAGTAAAAACTGATGTATGTGTATCATTTGTTTGTAAGTAATCTACGAAAGTTATTTCACGTGACGATACGACATAGAAAAATAAAACTTCATTAAAAAAATATATTTAATTCTATAGCTCTATTCAATACAGAGTGTATACATACAAATCCTTAACTAATTCATGTAAATACGCGTAACAAGATTGCAGCCCGCGAAGAGTCTCGTCTTCTGATAGAAGACGTCAACCGTCTTCTCGTAATCCGCACCTTCGGACAGTATGTCGCAGAACCTTCCGTACATGGTCTCATGTATATCCATATGCACCGTTTCGTGAAGGATTCCCACGTAGTTCTCACGCGATTCAGCATCTTCCTTCCTACCGTACGCGACGAACAGCGTCTCCCTGCGCGCCCCTTCCACCATTTCAAAAAGAATCGTGCAGGTCGTAATCAGTGGCCCTTCTTCTGTCTCGCGGCGAGACGTGAGAATTACTTCCTTTAGATGATCTATGGTTAGGTGATTGTGCGCGCGAAGGTACATCTCGCAAAACTCTTCTACGAACGTCTCGACTACGTAATCTAACGAATGGTTAGCACCCATTATATAATCCGTTATAATTGTATTTATATTTATAATCGATAAATATACGTCGTTACGCGCGTGCTTCTGATTAACAATGCTTTAATACTACGTGAAATTATACCCTTTCGTTTCGAAGCATCGAAATGGAATCAAATGACATCTTGCACTTACCCGTTGCTGTCAGCAGATTCCAGGAGTTGATGCGCGAGCGAGTAGTGAAGATATGCCGCGTCGTTAAATCTCTCTTCGGTGGCTGCATTTCTTACGAGCACATTTAATACTCTTAATGCTGTGTCTGTTTCGCCGGCCATGTAATACGCTAGAAAAATTCACAGTTTTGTAGTGGGTGGCAGAAAAAATAAAATTCCTCTTATTAAGGTAACAATTAGACTAATATTGTATTTTTCTATTAATGTTATCTGTATTTAGTTTAAAACTGAGTCAGCGAAAACCGGCCAAGTTCAAGTCGCATACTGAGAAGTCCATACTCCATATAAAACTGTAATCTGTTTTGTTATAAAATAGAAACCGATTCTTGATTTAAAAAAAAACGACACGGGGAATTTAGGAAGCGTTTCTCTAACCGATTGGGGTACCGTGTCCCTACGCATTTTTTTCAATTTAAAATCGATTTTAATTTATACTATGCCAGCATGTGAATGTGCTGTTATAATGTGGTTAATATTTCGTTTTCAATTTATTTTGATTTAATAAAATTCTTGAAAAAAAAAATCAAATGTGCAAGACGGTGACGTAAGCGCGTGGACGCCATGGGTATTTTGGCTTAACTAATAACATAAAAGGTTTGACGAGACCTATGTGAAAATTTGCAAACAAATTGTTTTCGCTTTGGTGATTTTCGATTACCTTTAATCAAAAACTTAACTCTTAGTCGTGAAAATATATATAGTACAAACACGTTTCCTAGAAAAATACCGAAGTAACTTCGCTTGACCAAGGATTCGAACGTGGGACGTCGTGAACTGAAGTGAAGAGTTAATAGACTTCAAAAAAGAGGATTTGTATCAATACAGTATTATGTTTTTCGCGCATAACTTCGTCGTTTAAAAACAAATTTTCATGATTTTTTTGTTGAAAGTAGATATCAGGTGATATGTAATGATTACAGACCATTGGAAACGAGTGGAACTTTGAAACTCGTTCGCACGACTGCATCGGTATATTGTTTTCATTCAGTAGTTTGAATCACTACAATTTAATAAAGGTTTAGAGTAGATCTTACGATAGAGCCGAGAGACAGTCTAAAGAACTACTATACATGTGTGTGTATATAAATATAGATGGTATAATTTAGCTTTGAAACATTTTCAAAAGCATTTTTATTAAAACTACCAGAAAACCCTGCCACTGTGCGCAAGAATTTTACTCTCCTATTTACGCCAATAATTGCGATAGGTAGCTTAATGTTTTCTGCTTAAGTCACTGTTATTTAAAATATCTAATGGTTATATGAGCGCTGTCTAACAGAGGAGCAGTAGGATTTTGCTGAAAATCAGTGTTGTATCATAACTGTGCTGCAACTTATGTTGACGCAAGACCCTTCCCGGCATCACTCCTCGTCAAATTAAATTTAAACTTTTTGTATTAATTATTTTATTTTAATTACATTTATTTCTTTCTAGCATGATCTTATTACTATATGAATGCTAAATAAAGAGATTATTATTATTATTAAATATATAAATCACTAGCCTAACGATGAAAAAGTACGGTACATTTTAGCTACCTCCTCACTAGTTTACTACCATGTGTTTGAACTTGAGAGTACTCGGTTGATACTCGGTCCGCGTACCCGTCGGGTATTTTTATACTCGTACTCGGCCGAATAACTCAGTTATACTTTGTTATTTGATAACGAGTATACTTTGTTTAAGAAAAGCAATATATTTAGATTTTTAGATATTTTAGATATAATTTAAACAAGTGTTAATCCAAAAGTAGTTAGTAATTTAGGAAATCTTTAAAAAAATCTCAATTAATAAACATTCGCAAGTGACTGGTAGTTGAAAGGCAGGATGAGGGGTGTATCAAAGCGAGCGAACCTGTTCATTTCGCGCGCGAAATTTGTATTTGACTGGATCGAGTAACTCGCCCGAGTACTCGGTTGAAAAAAATGAGCCCAATAAAATTTCGGTACTCGTTACTCGGCAAAAGTGTTATTCGGCGCATCACTACTTTGAACATAATTCATATACAGAGAAATGGCTATATTTTGATAAGCGTGGTCTACGGTGTAATAAAATAATGAAATATTTGATATATCACCTTTTTGTGCTTCAACGAATCTATTTTCCTGCGCCATCCGATGCGCGTAAGGCATGTACACATCTTGCTTACACTCGGGGTGTTCGCGAGCCAACGTGAACGCTCGCGACCATTCACCTACGTTCACTGCCAACTGCGCCACTCTCCTATATAAATAAATACGATATTACATTAAAAAATGTCAATACGGGCAAGACTTGAACCGGCATCCACAGCGCTCGTGCGGCTGCTCTAACCAATTGAGCTACCGCGTCCTACACTTCTCGTCGTATTTATTCAACCTATCGCTATTATATATATAAATGACGACCCCCATAGATTAACGTACTGCCTAGAGAGGTTCCAGGTTTGAATCCTTCAGGATTGTCAATGTGAAAATCTAGAGATCGAACTGTTTGTATCTACCCTTAGTCTACAGCTGGAACTCTACAACCGACCAAGTGCGTGTTGTCAGATGACAATTTTTTTTATAAACCACTTGTAACGCCAGATATTTTAGTTAACTTATTTACAATATATTTTAACAAGTACCTGACGTTTCGGATTCGAATGCGGATACGGATGGATGGTTTTTGATTTTGTATTATCTGTATACACTTCTTAAAAATTATACCCGTAATCAAATACTGTCTGTATTTTATTTAACGGTTTAAAAAGCGATGTATATTAGTCAAACTTATTCGGAAGTTAAGGAGAGTCTCCCCGCGACCACGGCGCTGCAAATCATCCGAAACGTAGGACCGTAATTGAAATAAACTCCAAAGAAGTATAATAGATATCGCGTTTTCAACCGTTAAAGTTTTTATAAAAGTACCTGTAATCGCCGAGTCTTTGATAGACATCAGCGGCTGTAGGATACTCCCCTGCGGTCACCAGAGCTTCTGCTAGGTATCGAAGCGATTCACTGGAACCCTTGTCCATTTTACGAGCCAATTCAATAAGCCTGAAATAAAATGATACTATAGGAACTATAATATTGTGTGACACCAAAAACAATAACTCAGATATCAAAATCTATACGAATGCTATAAAGTTGAAGAGTTTGTTTGTACGCGCTAATCTTAAGAACTCCTGATTCGAATTTGAAAATTGTTTTTGTGATGATTTTATACGGTTTCGTGTGCTACAACGGTACAAGATATTCAAAAAATATGTATTAGAATTTTCCTTATAAATTATAAAATTTTTATGCCTTAATAACATACTGATGATGTAACAATACAACAATGCGTGTAGGATTCACTCTCTCTATCTATAGCAAAACTCTGCGGCAATATACATAATTATGTAAATTTAGTTTTTTAGTTAATTACTAACATATCCCGTTTTCCGCTCTCCGCAAGTATGGTGGCTGCACTTCGAACATCACCCGCGGCCAAGTACATCTCGGCGGCGGCTCGTGGCTCGTTAACCCGTCGAGCCCACTCCGCACGCCGTCGGGTCAACGCGGTGAGACTCTCTCCTTCACCAACAAACTCCTACAATGTTGAAATATTGATAGTAATTGTTAGTGCACTAAGAAATTATGAAAAAGTTACACTATTAAAAACTAATATAAAACTGTTTAGGTGTTAGGCTTGTTAGGTATTCCTAATATTTTAGAACAAGCACCCCAGCCACATAGAGACACTCAAATGTTCTTGATAAGAGCCAGTGACAAGTAAAAATCTTACCTGAGCTTTCCCAAACATCCTTAAGTCCACGTACATGTCTAGAGCCTTCTCTTCCTTTGCTATGCTCTGATAGGATCTTGCAGCGTCAGCATATCGGCCTCGGTAGGCTAATATATCTCCCAAGACTATAGCTTTACGTTCACCTGCTTCTAAGCGCTCCTGAAAATTAAAAAAGTAGTTTGTGTTTGTTGTATAGTATTGAAACTAAGAACTTATTTCAAAAATTAAGTTTTAATTGAACTTTACAATTAATTGCGTATAACGCCATCTAGGGTTCATGCAGTTCTACTAATATAGGTGTTATACTCAAAACTCAACCTCAACGCTGTTTTGCTTTTAACATTTAACAGACGTATAAAATATGACAGGGAAATAGAGATAAATGTACATTACAGGCTATCAATGAGAATTGTTCTTTTCAAAATGAAAAAATACTGAAATCTATAACAATAGTTTACTTGTCTGTCTTTCAACCCCAACATATCCTTAAAAAATAGTTTAGCTATTTATTACATTATGTTTAAAATCTTGATATTAATTCGATAGGGATCGTTCAAGTATTACGTAAGCACTATAGGGGGTGGGGGGTTTTTTTTTTCGATGCTGGGGGAGGGGAGTCCAGATGATGATTACGTCATCGATATTTATTTACTTTTTTACACGAATGGCAACCACCACATTTTTAATTGAAAAATGTTTACGTAAGCACGGGGGGAGGGGGTAAAAGCTTTGCTTACTTTTGCTGACAAGGGGGGATGGGGGGGTAAATAATTGTAATAAATCTGCTTACGTAATACTTGAACGGCCCCATATAGTAGATAAGAATATCGAAATTAGGTCCGGCTCGCGAACGACCAAACGTTCAAAGAAAAAGCCGTGAAGGTTATTCGCGTTTCGATTTCAGTCCGTGAATAAGCGAATATCCAAAACCAAATGAGAACGTCGACAACGCAACGTGTTAAGATGTTATATGGCTGAGGAATTTCACTTTCTAACTAACTCATACTACCTGCAATTGATCAATAAGAGTAAGGAACACGATGTTTTCGCTCCTTTGAAATGCCTTCCTCGCGACTTCAAACGATAGTTCCTCTAAAGCAGCCGTTCCTAATCTTTCCCAGTCCAACGCCGTTACACCAAGACACGCTACAGCATACGCCTCACTGGAAACACACAATATTAATAATACTATTACGAAAATATAGCACATATTTTTTTACATTAAAAAAATTAACTAAAAGGTTAAAAAAAAAAACAAAAACACATTTCTTTATAAAGTTTTACGTATAGGCGACTAAAGCGGGTTCTGAAATTCTCTTGCTAGATTTTTTGTGTATTTCACAACGAAATAATTGTGTTTTGTAACATAGCGCCCTCTAGCGTTAAACGGTGTACAACTTAGCCATTAAGAAGCTCGAAGCTATGAGATTTTTTTTCATATGGCGTTAAGTAGGTGTACTTCTCGTGTTGAAATAGTAGTCTCCACATGAAACCACGTCGCAGAAAAATAAGTTACTAGTTTTAAACCGTTTAAAATGGTATATTTAATTTTTAGGTGCTTTAAAAGCACTTACTATGTAAAAAAACAAATGCGGACTTGATCTGTTGTGATTCTTAATTTTTTTTTCAACTATTATTTAAAAAATGCGACTTTACTTGAACATTTTTTGTTGGACATATTGATGTACTGCGTGCGATAACGGCACATTGATGGATTGCATCGCATTTAACTGCAAACAGAAGACTCTTCCACCCTGAAATAATAAATAAACGAAAATAATTAAAAATAATATTAATTGATTTTCATATACGAAAACAAAACATTAGTTATCCTGCCTGTAGTTACTGCGAGTAGTACACATTTAAATAAAACACTTTAACGGTTTAAAACACGAAATATCAGAAATCGGCGCTGCATCTAATCTGATGTTGTACAACAACTGAGTGAGGGTCCTTCCACAGCAGAGTTAGTGCATGTAATAATTGTAAATTGTATATTTTTTATATAATTTCTGTATTATAATTATATTCATTGAATGTACTTTGGTGGGAAATAAATATTTGAATTTGAACTTAATTATATATATATAATTTAAACTTATTTAACTGATATATTACGCGTTTTAAACCGTTTAGTTTTTATTTAAATGTCCATTATGTCAAATTATTAGTTACAAAAGTTGCATTCAGGTCATAAGGGCATTTAATTCTTAATGTTGTCTAATTGTTTTACTCTGGGACATCTCAGTTCCTGAACTACGTTTTCCTTTGTAGGAAAGTATATTCCAAAAATACAGTTTTCGGTGGACCTTGGATCTCTTAGTGGATCTCAAGACATTACCAATGGAAATATACATAACACTAAATGAATGCGAGTAAAGGTCGCATAAGTGTTATAATAATTACCTGGAAACCAACAACAGATCCATTTAGAGGCTGCGTCGCTGGTGGGAAATTACCAGCCTTGATAGAAAGTAAATCACCCCCCGATAAACAAAGTAGATCATCAAACCACAGATTCCATGACACTGAAGATATATTCTCCTCCTGAAAACAGATTTTACATTAAACACTCATACAAAGAACTATAGCCAAATCATACCTGACAGCGTTGAGATATGTGTTATTTAAAATAAAATTCGTTATTTTTATTTTAAATATTAATAATAACTCATCATCAAGCCAGAAAAAAAAGATATGGATTATTTCCAAAGCTGATTGATTCTTCAAAAAGTATCGTTAGACACAAAATCGAATTTATCGTTAGATAACGTTAATAATGTCCAATATTGTTTTATTTTTGCTTTTTCTATATAAAGGAAGGTAGAGATTGGCCATTGATGAGCCATCACATTTGATCACGGTCGTGTGCAATGAAGAAAAACAGTTTTTTTTAATAATATGAAAATAAAGTCCAGACTTGCCTGCCGGCAGACATGGTGGTGCCATTCCGTGGTTTAAATTATTTTAAGGTGTAAATACATTTGCCATTTTTACACGTCGTATTATTCTATAGTGATTAATAATTTAAACAAAAAGAAAGTTTTTCAGAATTTTAAATAAAGAAGTCGGTTTTTGTATAAATATACATATTTAACGAATGTATCTTATGTTCTTTAAATTTAAATTAGAGCGGCACCAGCCTCTTCGTTAAGTTAAAACTTATTTCGTATGCACATTTTTTTTCTTTTACACTACTATTGTATCAAGAAGTTATCAAAGATATAGTAAAAATACTAACAGAGAACAACAATTCAGCAGTTGGCAATGCATACACTCGGCAAACAGACGTCTCGTCTACAACAGCCAATCTCGTTCTTGAAACATTCACATCTAGGCACCTGACACAAGCTGGTGTTGCCAACAGTACCTTCGAGGTGCCGCTACTTACTTCCACTTGCCATATCTGAAAATCAATACGAAATTAATTTTAAACCTTATCTTAAGCTATCCGTAGTTGAATGAATACGAAGCAAGATTTTTTTTTGTAAAAATTGAGGCGTTAAAGAAACAAATAGATTTTAAACATAATCCGCGTCAATAAAAAAACAACAAATACTTTTAACATGTACAAAAAATGTTATATTTTTAAGAATGCTTTCGAATTATTTAACTATTGCTTATAAATTAACAAAAAAATAGTTAATTAATTATTAGAGTTCTAACACATGCAAATTATCTTTGTGTTGCACCAAAGCAAATACACTATGCAATACAATACAATTAAATTTATTAGCCTCATATAGCTAATAAATTTAATACGCTATTTAAATTATATCAACTTACTTCTCCATTCAACAAGCCTAAAAGCAATACTTCTTGGAAGTGTAAAGTGGTCACTTTTACGTAACGTATTGGTGTTGGCATTTCCCAAGATTTCGGAGTGTGTGCTTCGACCATTGTCAGCTTTGTGTCCTGAAAATTTTTACCAATCACTTCTATAACTTTGTAATAACAAATGTACCTTCTAAGTTATTTATTTACCACCAATTTATTAGTGAACTTAGAATTTTTATTTAAATGTGGTTAGATTTTTTATTTGAAAAAAATATTTAAATTTTTTTTTTAAATTTATAGTAACTTAATTTCTTACTCATTAAATAATTACTTTATTTACAACCTGTACTATTGTTGTATAACAGGTTATTGTATATATAAAAAAAAGTGTATAACAGAGTGTACTTAGTACGTTGAAGGAAGATCCTAGAAACTAGATAGATGATTTAGGTCTCATCTACTGGTTTGCAATGCATTGAAAATGTCAACTAAATACCTGACAAAGAAGCAAAGCTTCACTAGTTGCCACTAATAGCGAGCATTCAGCCTTTTGCACCAACTTTTCCTTCACTCTGTACATCATTCCATCAGGATCAGTTTGCTCGTAAATAAGTACTCTTTCGGGTAATTGAACCTTAAAATTTGATAAAACTTTAATATAATATAACTTTGAACCTTAAAATTTGATAAAACATATTAATAATAATATCATATAACTAAGTATAATCCCATTATCTCGTGGGGCATGGGGCGAATAGGTTTCTTTATCCACTTCCCTGATCGGTTCTTTTACAGACAAATAGTTGATCAGACTTCTGTGCCCTACCCGATTTATGTATTATTTCCCCAGGATTCAAACCCTGGACCTCTCGCGTTTAGCAACATATTTCACAATTTAGCTACGTTAAGGCCGTCATAACACTTATATTATAATTAATATACTCCAGTGTATATATCTTTTTAATGTATTTATCTATTTTATTAAAGTTGATTGTGTACCTTACGAGCTTGAAAAATATACTAGCACATGTTACTTACTGCTAACCGTTGCTTATAAATGGCAATTTTTTGTACTTTATCGTGACATTTAATCCTAACTTTATTGCCCGATGTCAGGTGCTGTATTATTACATCTGTCATATTTTCTCGATAGGCATATTTATCTCGATAAAGACCATGCACCGTGTTGAACACCACTTGATAACACCATAGACTACCATCTTGACATGCTACAGCCTGAAAGAACAGCTCATTTAGTAATGCATAAAAGTAAATATACATACAGAGAAATTGAGACATGGAGAGCATATCCTATAGGTCAGGCATTTAACTTGGAAAACTAACTACTTTTAAAAAAACACAGCTTTGTTTAAAATACTTGTTAAAATTTTATTAAAGAATCTTTTCTTTATTATCACTTTGTTAATGGAGGCGAAAAAACTGGCTGAACAATTCAAGTTTAGGTTAAACTAGTGACAAATTGTTAGGTTAAATTAGTAAAGCCCTACTTCACTTGATGCAAAAATTGTCAAACAGATGTTTTTTAACAAAATACATTTGAAATTCAACAGATAGGCTTAGTCTAAATACTTACCAAAGTTGTGAACGAAGGTGAGGGTATAACTGACCAGACCCATTCTAGCTCTGTCGTCACCACTGCTATTCCCTCAGAAGTTAGTACAGACCATCCCCCAATACCACCGACAAGAATAAGTGATCCCACCACAGATATTGACAGTGCAGACAGACCTGTTGACATTTTTTTTATTAGTATATATCAATTATTGTTAATAGATGTTTACATACAGCAAGTCAAGAAAACGGAAATAGTTTAATACCTATATTTCTATCCTTTAGGACTTGCTGTCCCAACATATCGTAGAATGATAGTGTTTCATTCCAATCAGTAACTAAAAGTGTGTTCTTTGAAAAGGCTAAGGCCCATACAGCTGATTCACGTTCTATTCTTTGGAATTCATCACCAACCTAAAATTATTTTATTAAACAATATACCAGACAGTCCAGTGTGAATCAATATTATTTTATAATTAGTGTTATAAAAAACTGATAAAAGATACAACATAAAACATAACTCACTTTATCCCTTAATGAAACCAAACCACTCGCCAACCCTATAGCTAAATACTGTCCATTTGGAGACCATGCACAGCAGGTAATTCTGCCCGATACTTTGACTTTCTGAACAGCCTTAACATCAGCGGACCAGAATGCAAAATCTGATAGAGCACATGATGCTAAATGGTAAGTCACTGGATTATACGCCAGGCACTGTATTGCTTCACTGTGTCTGCAATGTTAAAAATAACTTAGACTCGATAAAAAAGAATAAGATCTTACACCAACTCGGTGGTACAAAGGTAAAGTGCACTGTAATAAGTATATGATACCCAAAAAAACAAAACAATATGTCTTGACAGAATAAATGGGAGAACCCTGATTATACACTTACGAATATTTAAGTATGCCCTCCATTTTATTATTCCAAATGATGACATTTTTATCTGCACTGCCACTAGCAAACTTCTTGCCATCTTTGCAGTAGTCTACAGCATGTACTGGGCCTTTGTGGGCCTGCAGAAGTTGTACGAGTGCACCTTCCTTAGGGTCATATACCATAATTTTCTCCCCAGCACCTATGACTAGTTGGGAACCGTCTGGACTGAAGCATATTGTCTGGACACTGAAAACATGGTTTTGCAATGTTACTGAGGAATTAAATACTGTAAAAATTAGGGTTTTTAATGGCCTTAAGAATCTTGTTACCTATCTATGTTAATGCTGTGATTCAATCCTATATTGCCTTTTTTGTTAAAATTTTATATGAAATCTTACTAATATAAAATTCAGCCATCATGTCATTTATAAAACTAGTTTGTATGTTGTCATATTCTAGAAATGTGTTCTTAATATACAAGATAGAAAAATGACTTAAGGAAACAAGAATTGTATATCTTATTACTAAACATAATGTTATCTCCATTTGTGGCTGATTTAAAACCCCTATATTACAACTTTTGTGGTTCTAGTGTTAATTCTCACACAATCGTTAAACTTAGAAATAATCTAGATACAGTGGGGCAAACTATGAAATGTAGTTAAAGATGCAAATATGTATAGGCTAGATGTATAGGAAGTATTTATTACTCTAGTAACTATTACAATAAAATCAATAACTTACCTGGAACACTCGATTTTATCAGCTTCATGAATTTTATTAACCCACTTCGGAATAGTTCTCATTTTTTAACGGTGAGAAGCTTACTAGAACTAAATTCAAGTTGTTTTTATTTCATCAAAAAAGGGCTCATTGCAGGATAGATCTAGAATTTAAAAGGAAACTATTTAAAAAGCGGTTTACAAACTTTTAAATCATTATTCTAATTTTATTTCAAATTGGTCTCATCGTTGACAACGACCCCAACAAAAGTGTAAACAAATATTTTTGACAGATAACAACGCAACGTAGCTTATACTAAGTAGTTTTTATCTGTGGTACCGCTAATGACATTTTCTATGCTATTGTATAATCTGTTGATGTTCTAGATAATATAACATTAACACATGCGGCAAATTCGAATTTACTTTTTAATATATATTATTTATGTATTTATTTCGTTATTGGAGTAAAAAAATCTGCATAAGTGTTACATAGTATATTTTTGTTGAATGTGGATGATAAATTAAGTGCGTTACCAATAGGCACAGTAATCGAAATGAATTATACTATAAATAAAAATTATTCACACCATTTTCTATTAAAGTCAGAGCGAGTGTGAAAAAAATTGAATTGGCGAAGACTGTTAAGTGTGATTTTGATTATTTTAAAAGTAAAATCGACTAATATTGCAGTGTATGTAATAGGTATTATGGTGGAGACACTGCTATTCACAAAAAGAAGTAGCTTTTATAACACTTAAACAAATTTAAATAAAAATTGAGTACTTGTTATTTTAACATGAACCTAAAAAAACTTTTCTGAAGCATTGTCTGTAGTTTAAGGAAGTAGTAGCATAATATTTAAATAGAACACAACGGTTTAAAACGGGAAATATATCAACCATAATCACGAGGGCAGGGAAAGGTCGGGCCATAGTAAAGAAATAAATAATTAGTTGACTTATATATTACGCGTTTAAACCCTTAAAACTGTTTAATGAAAACATTACTGTTAATTATCCATTATCCTCTAAATAAAAAAAGTGTCAAAAAATGACAAGACGCCGATACTTATCCACTTGATAACATAAATTTTGTTGGACCCTGTCAAAAAAACACAGCGATGTTGATGATTGTCTTAATTAATGATGCGTGTCATTCAATGCGCTACCGCCCGCCTCTATTTCAACTGAAACTAATAAATTACGTTTTACTGTACCGAAATTTCTGTGACCTTTATTACCTAAGTCATAGGTTCGTTTATCGTATATCAACTGCAAGATTAGACTAAACAAGAAAGTAGTAGACAAAGATATTGATGAGTGTTTTTCTATTAAGATCAGACTGCCTGTCGCCATGACCGGATGTTGGACAGTTTTAAACGGATAACTTTTTCATAATTTGCTATGGGAAGTTTCTTATTTCAGCGGGGAAAAAAATAATGACCTACAGTTAAGCATTTTTATATGACTTAAGTTATCCAAAAACGTCCTTATACACTGGCTTTTGTTCTTATGGGTTTTAATTTCCCATGGCGATACACAGGTCTCCAGGAGGGTGTTATAGCCCAAAACCACCAACAATCAGACCAGAGGAATTCGTGATCTTATGAAACAGTAAACCAACGCGGAATGATACCTACTTAATATATTATATGCTAACTGTTTGTGTTGGATAGACCATTTATCGATAAAGGGTTAAGGGTATAAAACATCACGTTGTGAAAAAAAAAAATTTCATCTTTTAAGAGCTTCCATTGCGTGCACTGCAAAACGGTGCGAGATAACACAAAAATAGCCATGTATGAATAATACTTCTTTTGCGTCAAGATCAATTCATAACGACTAACGAACGAGGATGTAACAGCTAGTGTATTATTTGCATTATAATGCGCTACACTGCCAGTCTAATTGGAGGCGCAAGGCATATTACAAATGTGGGATTAGAACTAGAAGTCACGGACACAAAATAATGTCTCCAACTGACTATACACTTAATGGTGTACCGGGTGGATCAGCCCGGTTACCTAATCTAACGCCCGCTCACGTTTCCACAACACAATTAATCCGTTTGAAAATTATCCGGTGCAACCCCTCCGGGTTTAATTAAAATGTAAATTGTGGTTTGGCACTTTACTAGATATCACACGAACAGGGAGCGTCATTGAATTTCCATGGGACTCTGCCCCAAAAATGAATTCATGAATTTTAATGGCCGATTCTATTTCATTTTTCAAATGTAATGTCTAGTACATCCTGTGCCTGTAACTTTGCCTAAATTATTTTGGGCATCATATTATTTAGTTAATTTGTCACTTAGGTTCGATTTTGCAAACCCCCTATCTTTATAAACTTAAGCTACCCACGACGTCGATTGTGTCCCTTCCCGTCGTTCTTGCACGTTGATTTAAAAAAATAGACATATAGCGTCGCGGACTTATTTTTAGATCATTTAATCATGGAGTCATTCTTTCATACATATTTTTTGGGTATCTTGAACCGTTTTCGCAGCGTACGTTTCGGAAACTCACAAAGATTGATAATTTTCCCCATTTTTTTTACATTTCCCGCTCTTTCTTCACGCCTATTAGTCACAGCCGGATGTTTTATAGCCTATATATATTTTTTTTTTAAATGCCCTTTTTTCCATCAATCAAATTCTTGAGCTTTATATATTACTTAGTATAGATTTAAAAAAATGTCCGCGACAGTAGGTATTTGTGTATCTCTTAAGATTAATTGGCAAGTAAGACGGGACGGACGGACGACGTCGTAGGTACTACGTACAGGTCTACTATATTTTATAAAACTGAGGTTGTTTGCTGAAATAAATAATATGTAATATGGTGTCCAGATAACTAATCCACGCGGACGAAGTCACACTTAGTCTTTCATAAATAGGCATAAAGGGAATTTGTACATATACCTAATATCAAGCTATATAGTGTGAAATCCTGTTTCCCCCCATAAGGCATGGAGCGAACACATTTCTTAGTCCGTTTTACTAATCAGTTTGTTTAGAAGCGATTTGGTTAGACTTCTGTGCCCTGCCCAATCGAAACAATCTATTGTTTCCCTGGGATACGTACTGCTTGTATCCAGGTCACTCGTTTATCGCATTGTACGTTTAAGCATTTGTCTATAAATGCGGACAGAAGCTATATAGGCAAATATTACAGCGTTATAACAAATAGATTTTACGATACAGATATTGTGCCGGAAATCCCCAATCAATATTTCAGCGTTAGAGGGGGGCTTAGCAGTGCGGCGGGCCACGCCCCTTCGCTTCCACCCCACCGAAATCCCCTTACCCCCAGCGAAAGCAGTTGGCAGCACAAAGGACATTAATTCTAACTATATTGAGGCATATTTCGCTTCTGAATAAATACCACTGTTTTTACCCGACTGATGTAAAAACGTATGTTTGTTCCAGACTACAGACGTAACTAGTTATACTTAATTTAACGATTACAAGTGTAAATACGCTTTTAACGGTTTAAAACGCGAAACACGACGACCTGACGATTCGAGTTTTTCCTGACGAATGCTTATTAACAAATGTGGTCAGAGGGGGACAAAAGACGACGCCTGACAGTAATATCAAGTCCAATTTAAATTTAATTAGCTAATTGGTTCTTTATGCGTTTTGTATGTTAAACTAAACTCTTATATAGGCCGATTGCGCAAAGTAGTTTCATAATAACTGACTTAATTCTAAAAAAAAACCTATAACATTATTGTTTCACACGTATAGTAAGTTGTTAAATACCAATGTAGCTACTGCAAATCTAACTTAGCCAGTTTTTTCTTAAATAAAACACTTCAACGGTTTAAAACACGAAAGTTAAACTTAACTACGGCCCGACGTTTCGTTAAATATACGTTGCGTTTTAAACCGTTAAAGTGTGTTATTTAAATGTGTACTCGCGTAGACAGTTGAATAGTCAGTTCCTTTAGCCAGACAAATTCATTTCTATGTACATATTTAGAAGTTATATATAATCTACCTTTACTAAGAACGATACAACCGTTGTAAAAAGTATACAATACACAAAGGGATACTCTGTGTATAGTTTACGCGGGTAGTACACATTTAAATAAAACACTTTAACGGTTTAAAACGCGATATATTAATTAAACTTATTTGAAAATGATTTTTAACTTCGGCCCGACGTTTCGGGTGCTTTGCAGCAGCCGTGGTCACGGGGAGAAACGTTGGACCGAAGTAAAAAATCATTTTCAAATAAGTTTAACTAATATATCGCGTTTTAAACCGTTAAAGTGTTTTATTTAAACACAAAGGGATGTCAGGTACAATTTACAATTCTATATAGTCTTCGAGACGAGTTAATTAAGGGCGTGTCGCTTGTATAACAAAGCGAAATAGGGAACACCTGGGGCCTTCTGTAACATTCCCACAATTACAAAATCAATTACCTACCGAAATTATCGAAATTCGGGGGTAGTTTCATTCTAGTCGTTTTATTCTGTATCTGATACCGAAATAATGGAAATAAGTGAAAGCTCGTTTCCTCCTCGTGGGGTATGGTGCGAAAACATTTCTGTGTCCGTTTTACTGATAACGGGCAAATAGTTGATCAGACTTCTGTGCCCTGCCCGAATGGAACAATATTATGTTTCCATGGTATTCAAACCACGGACCTCTCACGCTTGATGCAATGCTAGGCAATACGTTAAACCATAGTTTACTTCCATAGGCTATAGAGGCTGCCAATGGAAGTAAACTATTTCATAATTTCCTAGCGATGTTTAACAGATACTTGTAGAAAATTCATATTTACGAATTAGACTATAGATAAAAGTATTATATTTTACTTAGAAGTACCAAATAATTATATTAAAAAACCTCAATAAGGACATACAAACAAAATAAACAAAAATATACCATAAACACTAAAACATGAAATTAATTTAGCATTTAGTTATCGTTCAGACCGGCTCAGCAGCTAAATGGTTGCTTATCCTTGAATTGAGCGAAACGTCCTGGCTTCGAAACGTCCTGGCTTCGAAACTCGTGAAAAAAAATTGTTCCGGTCTGGTAGGGCACTGAAAAGTTAGAAAGAAATCAATTATAAGTTCGTCGCATTAAAGTGTTTCCGCAATTTAAAAGGAATATTTAAAAAATACACGATAGAAAAAGTAAACCCACGTCGTTATAATCCCACCATACCATTAAAAACTCTCAATCTATCATAAACATGAAGTATCGATTAACAACTTTCATTAAGCAATAAACAGTAGTATTACATCTTAGAAAATTTAACTGCATTTTGTAATAAGAATACGCGTTATATGGCTTGTCAAATATAATTAAAAATTAAATTTGAATTATGTTTTTCATGGAATACTCTATTTTGCTGGTATTTTCATGTGAGTAATTAATAAATTAATTAATAAAAAATTAATTAATAAAAAGTAATTTAAGTAATAAGTTCCATTGCATGTTAGATGAGAGAGTATCAAAATTTTAAAAAGGTGTTAATACATTAATCTTAAACCAATTTAAAATGCCGAACTTTAATCTAAATTCTGTGGTTCATTAAATTTTGGAGGAAATTTGAAGTGTATATATTAAAACATATTTTTTTGGCTTCTCGCGCATACAGTCTTGCCTAAATTCAAATCCGTCCAGTAGTTTTGGCGTGACAGAATAACAGACAGGCAGACAGACATAGTTACTTTCGCATTTATAATATTAGTAAGGATTAGACACATATTGGATCCGGTAGCAACCCGTGTTTATAACAAGCCATTGCTATCTTAGACCAACGACGCCATTCCTTACCCCAGTGTCGCCAAGCCCCCAAGTGGATAGGAGTAGGTTTATTTGATTACAAACTACAAACAAAAATTACAAACTGTGCGAATTGAGCCCACGAACTGTTTACTAGCCATATATTGCTATTAGTCAAAGGAGACTGGGCTGGGCTCCCAATCTCGATGCCACAAATGGACGAATACAAGATAGTATGTTTATTCGATTCCAGTTCTCATCGACAACGATGCAGTATATGTTGGTATAGTTACGGTACATATGAAACGCAAGATGCTGAACCTGGACAAAGAACTAGCGTTCGACGCTATCATGAATTTTCGTAGAATCCAACACTTCACGGACCTCTATACTTTGGACGACGGGTTCTTTGTTGGACGCCTTATGTTTGAAATACGTGCAAAGTTCACTAGGATGATACGATTGTATATGCTGTCTTATAATAACTTCGACGCATATGACCACAATAAGGTTAGTGCTAGCGATCGCCTCTGTAGCTAAATTGTCAAACCTGGTGCATTGCGTTAAGCGCGACAGGTTCTAAAACATTAAATTGCTTTGGTGGGGAAAGGCACAGTCTGATCAACTACTAGAAATAGTAATGATTAGTGAAACGGACACAGAAGTGTGTTCGCATTTCTCTAGCGACATAGATAACGCTGTGGTAGTACATTCTGTCAACTGCTTTATTATTCTAAATAATATTTTTTAGTATTGGAGTATAAAAGTTGAAATTAAGTATTGTCTATAGTTTATGTCACAAGTAGGTAGTCCACATTTAACGAATAAAACACTTTAACGATTTAAAACGCGAAATATATTAGTTAACCTATCTTAAATTTATTTTAACTACGGCCCGATGTTACGGATTTTTTTAAGAAGCCATGTTCACAGGGTCTCTGCATTTTAAACCGTTAAAAGTGTTTTATTTCAAATATGAAACTAACGTGATGTTTTTGTATGTATGTAGAATTTTAATTATAGCATGTTTTGCACTTAATGGAAATTCAACATCTGGCCATGGAAATTGACAATCTGGTGGAAATAATATTTGATTACGCATGGCCGAAAAAAAAGCGAAGGAATCCCATCGAAAAATTCTTACCCCCCGGAATGACATTGCCGCCCGACGTCCAATTACCTCCTGGGCTAGCTGGAGTACGCAGCGGCAGAGAGTCGAAAACTCCGAAGGTTCTATTTGAAAGCAACCATAAAAACCTCGACCAAGCCGTGGTCATCCAAAATATCGGCGGGAAATCCCTCGTCGATTGGAGAAATGCTGAAAACAACGGTGGGGATTTCGATTCTGACGTAAATTGAGGTCAGAAAATATAAATCATAGTCTTTTGTTTTGTGAATGTAATTCTAAGAGTAGAATAATATTAGTGGATATATAGTGTGTTTTAATCCGTCGAAATTGTTTCTATTTAATTCTCATTACAATAAGTAACTATATCTAAGTATATGAAAGTAGGTTTGACGGGATCCTTGGTCTAATGCTACCATTGTATGCTGATAATCATTGGGTCATCGGATCGATCTCCACCGGGTTCAGTATGATTCTTATCAATTTATAATTTTTCTGAAACATGTTAGACTTTGTCTGGAAATCTAGATATTAAATCGATGATAGGAATGAAAATGCCATGAAGTTAAATCATCTTTCGGTTTCTTTAAGTACCTTTCCTCTTTTAAAAGAAGTAGGTACCTTATATATTTCAAACGAAATGTGATTTTCTGTTTAAAAATCGAAAATAAATTGAATAAATTTTCGACCCGGGCAGAACTTGAACCGGCATCGTCAGCGTTCCGTGCTGTTGCTCTACGCTCGTCGCCAAATTTTTTCAACTTATTGATACATGCACCTCTCGAGCAATCAATCAATCATAATCATGTCGAAAAAAAAATTCAATTTAAATAAAACACTTTAACGGTTTAAACACGATATATTAGTTATACTTATTTGAAAATGATTTTTAACTTCGGCCCGACGTTTGCTTTGCAGCAGCCCTGGTCATGGGGCTCGTGTTTTAAACCGTTAAAGTGTTTTATTTAAATGTGAACTACGCGCGTAAACTACAGACAGTATTTTATTTTAGATTTTTAATTTATATAGTGCCCTCATGTGCATGTCAAATAACATGTAAAAATTTTAAAAGTTTTCAAACGTGATTCTCTTTATACGGTGGGTGAAGTTATTTTACCATTCAAGTCTGTATATTATAATAATATAATGCTTCAAAGATATATGACGTAGATATTAAGTAATAAGTTGCATTTGTTTTATACACACGTCAAATAAATGTATACCCATGTTATAAAGCTAAAGACTTTGTTTGTTTAAACGCGCTAATCCCAGGAACTACTGGTTTGAATTGAAAAAATATTTTTATGTTGGATAGACCATTTATCGAGGAAGGTTTGATAAAACTTGTGTAGGTAATGTTTGAAAAAAAAAACTGTTAAAATTAATTGGTCTTTCAGGGCTTTAATGCGTGCGCTGCGATACGGAACGACACATCAAAAATCTATACTAATATATAAAGCTAAAGAGTCCGTTTGTTTGTTTGAACGCGCTAATCTCAGAAACTACTGGTTCGAATTGAAAAAATCTTGTTGTGTTGGTTAGAAAATTTATAGGGGAAGGCACTGTGACTAATAGGAGCAAAGAAACACCGGAAAATGTGGAACAAATGGGAAAAAATGTACATCTTTGTGGGTTTAAGATACCCAAAAAATATGTATGAAAGAATGGTTCCTCTTTGAATGATTTTAAAAAAGTCCGTGACGCTATATGTCTATCTTTTAAGATTAACTCGCAAGAACGACGGAAAGGGACTCGACCGACGTCGTGGGTAACGGATACGAAGTCGCTGACACAGCTAGCTAAATATATAGTTAGAGTTATTCCTCATATAATAAATAAAAAAATAGCCGCGACAGTATATTTCTTTCTTTTATGATTAACTTGCAACGGTTTTTAAAGCAACAGAATTTAGTCGAATGCATTATTACCAATTATTTGTTAAACCATTAACATAATAATATTAATCTTGCAAACGAAACAACGTTTGCCGAATCCACTAGTACCACAATCAACCCCACGCAATTTCCGACGGTTCTAGGCTTCACGGGTTGAGACCTACCACCAAAGTGTTTGTTTAATCTTGACGGCTGTTAAATAGGAAACAAAAGCACTCAATTTTATACCATTTTCGTCTGTATACAGACACACACTAAAAGCAGAACGCGGGGATACATTAGTTTACTTTAGGTTAAGAATTTGTTATTGTAAGCCATATGGGTGCAGGGCGCGCCGCGGGTTTTTTTTTCTGTTACGAAGAATTTACGGCCATCCTTAAACAATAGGACACATGCTTATATGTCCGTCCATCTGTGACTTTGCAGACTATTGTTGGGTCACGTAAATTGCTGGATACGTAAGCTTTTTAAAACGTTCCGCTAACGATCACACGAACCTATACTGAGATCTTACAGCGGATTATGTTTCTCTTACAGAATATTTTCACATTGTATGACGATTTACAAATCGCTGCAAAGCGGTCGTAACGCGTAATACTTGATAATGAAAATGGCCAAAACAAGTGATTTTGACTATTGAGACCAACGTTCTAAGTATTTTGCCATTTCGATCAAAATATGATTACTATAAAAACGGTTCTTGTTTAACTCACTCTTTAAAAATAGATTTACCATCGCAGAAATTTTTTTTTTTTTTTTTTTTTTGGATTATATATATAACTAATGATTTTACTACATATTTTTTATTACCTTAAAGAATAGTTGCCTTCCCCGATTTCTTATATATTCTCTTTCGAAATTGTATACAAAGACATATGCTCTCGCGATGTTTTTGTAGGTATTGATATATTCTATAATATTGTCAAACATTTTTTTGTCCTATAATAAATACTTTTCGCAGCGTATGCGACAAAAGATATTTACACCTCTCGTTGCTTTTAATAGAAATTTCTAGAGACTTCTATCGTAATCTAGTACTAAGTATAGTCTATTTTACTCAGTGATAATGTAGCTTTCTAATGAAAAAAGAATTATTGAAATCGGTCCAGTACTTTTTGAGTTTATCCGTTACATACAAAATTACAAATATTTCCTCTTTATAATATTAGTATATATAAAATATTGAGTTATGGCTTAAGATATGCAAAATAAAATAAATAAATTAGCCATTCTTATCAATAACATTAGTGACACTTTTTCTACTACGAATTTGTGCCTTGTGAAATTTTAGTAGAACCGTGTGCCGATCGGCAAAGCCCTCCTATAACCTTTTCCACTCTTTCCTATCCTGTGCTACTTTATTCCACCAGACTGCCACTCCTCAAATGTCATCCTCCTATTTAAGATATGTACAAAGTAATATTCCCTCTAACTCCTAAGCAACTAAGACATACAAATATCTAGAACTTAAATCTACTTATTTCGGAGGTCTCCGCTCAACTTTGGCTGCACCAAGGGTGTTAGGTAAATGAAGTACAGCAGTTTCATCTGTAAATTTAGAGTATAATCCTCGCCGAATTCTGGCAAAGTTTTCCGGGCGTATATTCAATATCGCATTATCAATATTCAGAGGGCGAACAGCCGCGGGTCATCGAGAGGTTTCAACTTCAATAACGCCCAAAGGAATCCACTAAGCACGGAATCGATACCTAATTATGCTGAGCACTCTTACAGGCGGATTATGTTCCTCTTACAAAATATTTTCAGTTATTATCTAGTATTATATATTATCCAGTTTTATATTTACAGCGTTTCCGAAAAATTAGGAAAGAAAAGGAATATTGAATACTGTCTATAGTTTACGCGAGTAGTACAGATTTAAATAAAACACTGTTACTGTTACGGTTTAAAACGCGATATATTAGTTAAAGTTATTTGAAAATGATTTTTAACTTCGACCCGACGTTTCGGATGCTTTGCAGCTGCCGTGGTCACGGGGAGACAAGAATATTGCCTATTTTTTTTTTTAATTATTAAATTATTCATATTTAAACGCCATTAATTTTTAATGTTTAAAAAGCGCTAAAATTATGTTTCTATGATGTTCGTAGATATCGTATTAGCGTGACCTAATGACGTCTCATGGCTTCTGAAGACCGAGTAAACTGTTAGTGGTGTTAAAAAAAATTTACAAGAGCAAAAACTAAAGCACTACAAAGAAAACACCTGAAAAGTTATTTATGCTCCTCGTTCGGTAATATTATTTTTTAAGTATAAATAAATCAATATAAATTAAAAATTGAGTACACATTGAAAAAAATACGACTCGGGCAGGACTTGAAACGGCACGACATCACAGCCCGAGTAGTTATTTTTTTAATTCATATAGTAGGTACCATTGTTTGCAATAACAAGTGCAAGATATTAAAGTTTTCAAAAATATGAATACTAGAATCAAATCTAGTTAAAATTAGGGAAAATTATTTTATTTCTTTCTTCTTTTCGTTGTTCTGTATTTCTATAGCAGAAAAAACCAATTTGCATTCTAATAATTAATGTTTGAATGCAGTCAACATCCATATTCCTTAGAGATGTAATTATTGCTAAATTTACTAAATGTTAACCATTTTTACAAACAATATTCAATCAGTATGCTTAAACTAGCGTAAGCTTTTTCCCTCAGCACATCAGCTACCTATTGTGTATAACTTAACAATTATATATTGGCTTCACACTTTGAGCTATACATACTGTCAACTATAATAACAATTTATAGATATCCCATTTTATAGTAAAAATCATTTGGCCACTACAAAATTCAAAGGCGTGGGTTGTGTTCTCGTGACAAAGCGACAAAGTGTGCATTCGATAAGGGACTTAAATGTTAAGGATTTAAGGGGTATATTGGTTCAAATCCCCCCATCAAATACTTCACGAATGTCACGGATCAAATCGACAATAAGCGTCGAGTATTTACTTTACATTTACTCTTTAATTGTACGTCGGATAGTGACGGGCGAGTGTTCGCTCGAATTCAGAATTTGATGACGTAGCGATTTTCAAACGAGCGATGGCACTTACGGTGGCTCAAAAAAAGTTTTTCGAAATAAATAAAGCCTCTTTTGACATTCTATTCGTCTAATATAAATCATAAATCTTAGCTACAAATGGACGAAAAAATATTTCCCACCTTTGAGTTACTTATTGGAGAGTTCAGAAAAAAGTCCTAATATCTCATTAAAAACCCACAAAAATCAAATAAACCTTTGACAGAATTTTGAATCATTAGTTGCTAAAATCAATTAGTGAAGACGTACAATAAGGTATCTACTAACAGC